GTAGCGGATCAGATTTCACGATCTGGTCTGTAGCGGATCAGATTTCATGATCTGGTCTGTAGTTACAGGAAACAGAAGCTTTTGAGCAGCATGCGTTCAGCTGGGACTGCTGCAAGATGCAGAATAAAGATAAATTCACAGTGAATCATTCTTTATTAGATTATAATAAATGTGTTATCTCCTCTACAAACTGACTGACAGCTGCTGATTATGACGTCATAACTCTGCCTGAGAGGCGTTTTCATCAGTGAGCAGCGTTTAAACAGTCTGCCTTCACCAACATGTCACCAAACAGAACATCTGTATGAGTTGAAATGACTCCAGCTGCTGCACAGTGTGTGTGTGTGTGTGTGTGTGTGTGGGGGGGGGGGGGGCCTCCATGAGGATGGGATTGGGGGCCCGTTGTTACGAGCTGTTTGGTCCCTGCACAAGCGGTGCGAGAGTTTGGGTCTCATTGCCGGTATAAGTCGGACCCTTCAGGGTGGGGGTTGGACTTCATCTGGGCTGCCTGTTGTCAACGATTCTCTTCATAACTTTTATGGACAGAATGTCTCGGCGCAGCCAGGGGGTGGAGGGAGTCTGGTACGGTGGCCTCAAGATTCTTTCTCTGGCGTCATCGTGCCTGATCTTCAGCTCTCACTGGAGGCGCCATGGGGACATCCTGACCAGATGTTGAACCTCCTCACCTGGCTCCTCTCGACGTGGAGGAGCAGCGGTTTTACTCCGTCTCTCCTCATAACTGAACTTCTCACCCTGTCTCTAAGGGAGAGTAGCACACCTAATTATAATAATTACTAATAATGATTAACTTTGCACCAAGCCACATCTGTGACAACTAATATGTTTATTGCTTCTTGTTGTTTACTATTTTCTCTTTAGGACGTAGTAAATATTATAACTTTTTCACTTTTTGGTACTCATTTTTTGTACTCTTATTGCATGCTTTAGTATTTCTTGGGTTTTTTTTAAGCGAGTCAAATCGGTTCTTCTCATCCTGAGCATTTCATTGTACTGTTGACCTTGTGTTGACCTTGAGTTGACCTTGTGTTGACCTTGTGTTGACCTTGAGTTGACCCTGTGCTAACCTACATTTATAACAAATAAACACAACTTGAACTTGAACAACTCAAGACCTGGAAAAAAGTCATTAAAAACTTTAGGAGAGCTGATTAAAAAAAAAAGTTAAAGCATTTTAAAAGCTAAAGAACGGTGTGGAGTGAAACGTGGTCCAGAACTTTCTGTGAGACCCTGCAGGAGCAGCCGGTCCAGACAAGAACCTGAGGAACCTTAAAGTTCGTCTGCAGCAGGAGCGAGGAGGCGCCGTGTCACGGCTCGAACACGCTCAGGACCTCCACCTCACTCCAACAGCAGCACCAACATCAAACTAAAGTCCCCCCCTCTTTTCTGTCTGCGCCTCCATGGAGTTCTGGAGAAACGGGTTCACGGTTCAATACTGACACAAAGTCCAACGCCTCCTCCTCCATCATCAGCTGCTGCTTGAGTCAAATCTCTGAAACGTGTTTGGACCCGGAGCTGCAGCAAACCTGAACACCTGAAACATAATTTACCTGAACTCTCAAAGGTTTTTGGTCCAAAGGGATCCAAAATAAAATCCTTCAATCAGTGACCACACATTTAATCAAATAAACAACTTGTAACTCAGTTCTGGAGTTTAAAATGGTAAAATGAACCACATACAATTTTCAATAAAATTTAAACCGATGGTTAAACAAGCACCGTCATGGTTGGTTAGTTTCTGCTGCATTAAAATAAACTACAGATGAACTAACATGACTCAGAACGTTCATCCACCTCCATCCTCTACCCCTCATCTGCAGTCGGGCCTGATCCAGACCTCAGGTCCACAGCTGAGGATGGAACAAAGACAGGCCAGTAAATCCAGAGCTCTGTCTTTAGACTCAACTCTTTCTTCACCACTAACAACCAGAGCAACGCCCTCATTACTGAGGACAAGGCCCAGCTCCATCGAGCCATCTCCCGCTCTGTCCTCCCATCACTCAGGAACAAGACATCATACATTTACTTTCATTTAGTTCACAACGAGCTGAAGGAATATTAAATTATAAAATGTATTAAACAAAAAACAACTCCAGTTTGAAACAGAATTATTGTGTCCATAACGTCCTAGCTGTCCAACTGTTCAGAACAGAGGTCCAACACCCCGACACAAGTAAAACTGTTCAGA